GCAGCATGTGTCCTGTCCAGACAGGAAGGAATATGGCAGATTTAGTTACTCAGCTGCAGCATGTGTCCTGTCCAGACAGGAAAGAATATGGCAGATTTAGTTACTCAGCTGCAGCATGTGTCCTGTCCAGAGAGGAAAGAATATGGCAGATTTAGTTACTCAGCTGCAGCATGTGTCCTGTCCAGACAGGAAAGAATATGGCAAATTTAGTCACTTAGCTGCAGCATGTGTCCTGTCCAGAGAGGAAGGAATATGGCAGATTTAGTTACTCAGCTGCAGCATGTGTCCTCTCCAGAGAGGAAAGAATATGGCAGATTTAGTTACTCAGCTGCAGCATGTGTCCTGTCCAGAGAGGAAAGAATATGGCAGATTTAGTTACTCAGCTGCAGCATGTGTCCTGTCCAGACAGGAAGGAATATGGCAGATTTAGTTACTTAGCTGCAGCATGTGTCTTTTCTGAAGAGGAAGGAATATGGCAGATTTAGTTACTTAGCTGCAGCATGTGTCTTTTCTGAAGAGGAAGGAATGTGTTTAGTAAAACCATGAGCTAAATGTTAAATGTCACCAGTGCATTAGCAAGAAGTTACATAATCCAAGCAAGACACTGTTTGTTGATAACAAAAGACGAGATGGGGATATAACCTAATAAAGCAGATAACCCCTAGCTTTCTACATTTATACCCTTCTGGGCTATTACTCTAAACAAACACATCAGAGGAAACGTTATATTATTTCCAATTAATATTGGAGGATGGAATTAACTACAAAACCTGAGTACACAGAAAATTCCTGTTTTAATAGAAAGTTTAATACTCATGAAAATAAGTAAAATCATTCAAACAAATAAAATCACCCATGTATTCATTTGGTGAGTTGTTAATTCACTATATTCTGAATGAGCATTAATTTTGTTTAAATATAATATCAAATTGATTAGACCCCCTAGCTTGGTAACCACAAGCCACATGTACTCCCTAGTTTAATTAATTATAAGTCAAAACGAATTAGCTACAATTTTCAATTTGTATTGAATGCAGTGAAATAATAGGGATATTACTTAGACACAAATGGCATTAGATTCACAAATGGAAATTAATCACCTAAAAATATCCAACTAATTCTTGTACTTTGTTCATCTGCATATTACTTGAATGTTGCCCTAAGGTATAGAATTTGCTATGTGCATATATTGAAATTGGAGGCATGCTCATAAAATTACAAACTGCCAGCAAAACAGAATAATCAGCAAAACATTTGGGAATTCAATGGATGTACACTAAAGTAAACAAGGGCAATAATTATGGAAACCCAAAATCCAGTATATATTGGTAGAGTATTCCGGGAACAAAATCATTTATGACTGGTTAAGTAACAAATTACATTTCCATTCATTTTTTACATTCCAGTCAAGCACCAGATTAAAATAAAACAAGAACAAAGATAAAGTATTAGATCGCTTGCCTGTTATAGCTACAATGTAGTGTACTATTAATGATAAAAAGAGGTGTGTTAATGAAACCAAAAAACTGAAGCTGTAACTGAAATGTGATCACAGTTGAGTGAATCACATTTTGTGATTTGATCTGCAAAACAAAGTGACATGTATCAAGATCCCATGTTTAGTTGATGTATGTACCAAGTTAAAACAAAACAAGTCATTGTTAATGACATAGTCTCTGTTGGAATTAGGGGAAATGTTATTCATGCCAAAAAAGTTATATGGACGAAAAGACTAGTAATTGCAAGTGACTAAACGGCTGGTCTAGTATCAACAGAAATTAGATGTACTAAATGACTCTGATGTACAAAATCGAAATATATGGTCAGAAATTAAAAAAGATAAACTATTCATGCATTCATGGATATTTCGTATCCAAATCAGGCTCATGTACAAAGATATAGTAGTATGGTCAAAAAGCAAGATTGAAGGCAGTCAACAATCTTTGACAAACCTTGTCAAATATAACACATTTTTCAAGATGAATGCCAGTCGGCCATCTTTTATCTAATTTTTAAACAAACTGAAATGGACAAGTATTCCAATATGTGGGATGTATGTGCCAATAGCAGGATGACCGCCATCTTTGATCTGACTGAAAAACAAATTTTCATGGACAAATTTGAATGAAAATGGCAAACCATGTCCATGAAAAACATTTCCAAAAAACAAGATGGCTACCGGTCGACCATCTTCATAGAAATTTGTCCTAACATGTATAATGTACAATGTATGTACCGAATTCAAACAAAAACATGCATAAGATGACATTTGCATTGTATTTTAATGTCAAGAAATGGCTAAAAAAAAAAAAGAGGTATGATAAACAAGACATTTCTAAAATGAGCCAACCCTGGGCAACCCTGTGCTGCATAAACGTGGGAAATTCATCGTGATTCTAGTCGATTACTAAACAAATACAGTAAATTTGGGAAGTCAGTGTGATGAAAAGCAACAAGACATGTAATTGGCAGTTCAAACAATAGCACGATCGTGGATCACATTTGAGGGCAAATGGCTAGCAGAAATATAGAACAAATCAGAAACGGGGTGTCTATGCAAAGGGGGTGTGCATCAATACTTGGAGTCGGCCCTAGACTTGCGCCCGACTCAAAAACGTACGACAAAATCATGACTAATAATTCAGATGTTGCGTATGAGCCATATTTACAAAAGTATTCTTAGACTAGTCTTTTTTTGTTAAACAGCTACACAAATGGAGATATGTAAACGATTTTGAATTAATATTATTTCAGCTTACATAGTTTTTCAAAAAGGATGATAATGTGAGATGCATCATGGGGATAACAATTTACAAATAAATTACAAAAAGTGCTGGGTGGTACATATAAATACATAAATTTCGTCCATCTGTGAAAGAAACTCAATTTATGTGACGTGAAATATTCCCAGTAGCTAGCAACAAATAATGAAAATGCTGTCATCTGTGGTGAAAGAAGGAACGAAAGAATACAAGATCAGATAAACCAACCAGATCTATCAATCAATCAAAATAATTGGATACTATAGTAGAAGAATTCATTAAAGTGAAAACATGTGCAGGTATGAATACATTTGGCATCACAGACAGTTGTGTTCAAGTCAGTGATCATGATGGATAATTACATTTCACTAATTTTCACATACACACACATCAAATTGCCATACGGCACCATGCCATGGTCCTGCACTTTAACACGTTAGTGTCCGTTGCATGTTTTGTAATGTACTAATATGTTAAAAAATCAGAATCTGAATGTCAACAACCATTATTTTAAATGAGTCAATTTGAGCAATCCATAGGACACTAAAGATTAGTAGTTTCCAGGCAAACAGTGACAGTGCATTATTTTGGTATTGGTGTGATGAATGGGAAGGCCAAAGCCACTGCATACTGGGTAAGTGTATTGAATGGGAAGGCCAAAGCCACTGTACACTGGGTAAGTGAATTGAATGGGAAGGCCAAAGCCACTGGGTGAGTGTATTGAATGGGAAGGCTAAAGCCACTATACACTGGGTGAGTGTATTGAATGGGAGGTCAAAGCCATTGTACACTGGGTGGGTGTATTGAATGGGAAGGCTAAAGCCACTGTACACTGGGTGAGTGTATTGAATGGGAAGGCCAAAGCCACTGTACACTGGGTGAGTGTATTGAATGGGAGGTCAAAGCCATTGTACACTGGGTGGGTGTATTGAATGGGAAGGCTAAAGCCACTGTACACTGGGTGAGTGTATTGAATGGGAAGGCCAAAGCCAATGTACACTGGGTAAGTGTATTGAATGGGAAGGCCAAAGCCACTGTATACTGGGTGGGTGTATTGAATGGGAGGCAAAAGCCACTATACAATAGGTAAGTGTATTGAATGGGAAGGCTAAAGCCACTGTATACTGGGTGGTCAAAGCCACTGTACACTGGGTGAGTGTATTGAATGGGAAGGCCAAAGCCATTGTACACTGGGTGAGTGTATTGGATGAGAAGGCCAAAGCCACTGTATACTGGGTGAGTGTATTGAATGGGA